CAAAAATAAATAAATAAATAAAAAAAAAATAATATTCCATTAGTTAAAATTATTTTCAGTGTGTTCATCGATTTTAAACGAGCAAGAATGACTTGCTAAAGGATGATCTTCAAAAATATGACCCAGTAAACCATGGCATTGAATTTTGTTTCACGCGTCCATATAAATTATTTTCTTGCACTTTCAATTTTACTCCAATAATAAGCTATATACAACGTGTAACACTGCTCAACTTCAAATAATGCTCCTGAATGTTAGATACTAGGTCCTTTCAGTTGCTATTTTCAGTTGAGATATTCGACATTGACCATGTTGACTTGCTCCGTTAGTTTATATGCGGATTTGCATTTTTATGCAATAGGGTACATACAATTTAAGTAAATCTAGAAAAGGCATATAGTCCGGTCTCAGCTTTAGCTGTCATTTTATATATTTTAATTACACAAATTGTTATAATATTTCTGTAGTAAACTGAGACTGTCCGAAAGCGATAAAACCCATTACAAAAATTCTTTGTCCAAGAATACAATAACTACAATTTCTGTATACACTTTTTAAAGACTTTTCGCACGTTCATTTCAGTAAAACTTTCTCAGGTTTATAGATATCTTTAAAGCTGCATGCCTCCAGATGACCCAAAATATTTCAAGAAAATTAAACTTGGAAAAACCATACTAAAACTTTGAGAAAAGTGAACAAATTAAAGATTCAAATGATAATTTATATCTTATGTGCAATTAATGACTATATTTTGTAGTATTTATCACCATATTTCTACTGCGTTACTAACGCAGTAGGGGCTATTTATGCATATTTTGACCTCTTTTTGGTAATTTACGTGGATTTTAAGTGCCGATTGTAATGTGTCAAGTACTTTTTTTGTTCATTTCACAATATTTTACCTTTAAATACATTTTCAAAATTTTCATGAAAATTAGGATGAATCTGGAGGCGTGCTGCTTTAAATATTGAAAGATATAACCAAACAAGAAAGTATCTTTTAAAAAAAGATACTCGGTCGAAATAAAACTGGTTAACATGCAAAATTATGTTATTTCTGAGTTTTCAATACAAACAAATGTTAGCAATGCTTACATAACAATGCGTAATTATTATTTCTTGTAGCTAAGAAAATACATATTTGTAAACATTGAAATTAATTTTTTGTATATCGATATTGATGATTTTCAAAGAAGGACAGCATCTATTTTACGTGTCCCTTCTACTTTATCTACGTTTGACTTTATAAATTTTGTTATCATTAATAAAAAATTAATCTAAAAGCTAAAGAACTATCCTCATTCCTTTACATTTTATTTTAGAACTGGGACAGAAAAATACAATTTTTTAGTTCCAGTTTAGAACTATCCTTTACATTTTATAGTTACATTTTATTTTAGAGCTATCATTAAATTTTTTTTAGAATGGTATAAGAACCATCCTTTACATTTCATTTTACTGTCCTTATTATTTTATTTTAGAATGACAAATGAGATTCACTGATTTCAGTTTGTAATTTCAAAATGACCAATGAAAATTCTTGTTATATTCAGTCCTTCCCTGTTGATTTTACAGGAAGTCAAACTTATAAAAGACGGACTTTGTCCAAAAACAAAATGGGCAAGGATGTTACCGTTAACAAATGATACGTGATCATCGACTTCAGTCTGTTTCTCCAGTGTCTTTACCAAAAGCGAAGACTGAATGAATCTATTCATACAAGTATTATAATATGGTAATCAGTCAACACTGATTGCCTTAAAGTGAATTGGTCAATAATGGAAGGTCTGCAATACAATTATAGTATTTATTATCCGGAAAAAAAACCATAAAAGAATTATATAGACTATTTGTGATGTTGGCAAGTATGAGATGACATTATCCGATTATTACATGTTATATATAATATTATTATATATATTTATATAACAGATACTAAATCACTAAGAATTGTACCGGCATTTTTTCTAACAATATTTTGTAAGAATATATAAATGATAAATTCCTGTTGCTTTTATCAATACATTTGAGCCGCGTCACGACAAAACCAACATAATGGGTTTGCGACCAGCATGGATCCAGACCAGCCTGCGCACCCGCGCAGTCTGATCAGGATCCATGCTGTTCGCTTACAAACTCTATTAAAAGTAGAGAAACTGATAGCGAACCGAACAGCATGGATCCTGATCAGACTGCGCGGTTGCGCAGGCTGGTCTGGATCCATGCTGGTCGCAAACCCATTATGTTGGTTTTGTTGTGACACGGCTCATTTGTATTTGAAATACTTATGGAAAATGTGCCTTTTGTAGACCATTCCACTTTTACACGCTTGGGAAGTAAATGTGCAACTTATTGGAGCATAACTTTCATGAAATATTTGTTCAGTTAACTAAAGGCTTACTGTGGTGATATTACAACACATGAAAACGGATAAAATTTACTTTTTCCTTCAATATGCGTTCTTGCTGGACATAGTTTACTTTATTTTGCTCAGTTTACGAGATTTTTTGTTAAAAGTACATGGAATTGTACATGAACTGTACAGTTCTGCCCACTGTATGTACTACAAAACCTATGTTGTGTTTTGTTTAAATGCTGACTACATCTGTGGGCGATTTTTCATCAACAATAACTGTCATGATGTGACATGGCTGCTTGCAAAGAATCAATGTTTTAACCATTTTGCAATCATCTAGATTTGTTGCTTTATGTGAACATTTCAAATACATCCGTACATAAGCTTTCATAGCTTTCTGCCCAATCTCAAATGTATAGTGTAAATATTGTTCATCATAATGTAAATATATCGAATAAAATATGTTTAAACCAAATACATTCGTACTTCCATGTTACAAGTGACTTATCTGTTATTTATGTTATTGTTCTTACATATACACACGTCTTATTGCACACACAGTCACTCTGTTGCATTATGGAGAAACCTTGGACCAGTAACAAGAAAGTTTTCATCTCTTAATATCTTTCAATCAAAATTAAAACAAAAATTCAAAGCTCCAGTACTTCCAAAATACTTTCTCAATGGCTATATCAGTCAGTATTACATGCACGTCTCAGAAACTACTGTAATAATTCAAATGACGAAATTGTTTAGAAACATCCTGGAGAAGATTCTAGATACCTATGTATGTGGTGTCATTATCGAAAACGCTGATCTTAATTTTTTTCACTGCAACAGATGATAACTTTATTTCGTGATACTATATTATATCATCCACTAAACGCTGTATTACTATTTGGTCGTGAAAATCTATCACATGAAGACAACATTTATATTTATGTTGCTATAAAGAAATTCATCGTTTTAAACCCTTTGTCATTACAACTACAATTTTCGAAATTAAACCCTTTATATATTGTTCTTTTTATACGAGTGCGGGGAGCAACCCGGGCCGTTTTTGAAGATCAATGATGGTGGTCGTGTCATATCTCAGTACAATAAACATTAAAATCTTATTAATGAGCCGCGTCATGACAAAACCAACATAGTGCGTTTGCGACCAGCATGGATCCAGACCAGCCTGCGCATCCGCGCAGTCTGATCAGGATCCATGCTGTTCGCTATCAGTTTCTCTACTTGCTATAGGTTTTGTAAGCGAACAGCATGGATCCTGATCAGACTGCGCGGATGCGCAGGCTGGTCTTGATCCATGCTGGTCGCAAACCCATTATGTTGGTTTTGTCGTGACGCGGCTCAATTTTATTCATTAAACCATAATTGCCGTAAAAAGTAATCGCCATAAACCAATGAAATTATTAATTTTATATACATGTAAACAATGTTATATTGACATTCATTTAACACATATTTTGTTTTGTAAATATCTTAACTGGGAGGGGCCTAATGAAATGTTGTAAAATCTTGTTGCCCAACCCATTTGCTTTTGTTTTACTGTTCTATTTTTAGTGAATATTTGCATGTATACAGACAATAAAAATATGGTAAAACTAATAGGTTTTATTTGATTGAATTAAATTTTCTGACAACTCTGTGTGGACGGTGGCATTGTGTGAGAATGTCGTGTACCTGCTGCTGCTGCTGCTGCTGCTGCTGCTGCTGCTGCTGCTGTTGTTGTTTTTCTTCTTTTCTTCCTTTTCTTGTTTAATATCATATATACAAATATGTACACTTTAAAGAAATAAGTGAAATAAGTCCATCATCTTATAATATTATATTTTACGACAAGGAGAAATTTTAATCAAATTCTCAACACACATTGGATATCTTTTCTTCGTACACTGTTTTATTCATGTAAAATTTCAATCTTATGTGAAACTTTTCAATTATTGAAAGATTCAAACTATAAAATTTTTATATCAAGTCACTGGGTATTAAATGATTTTAGCGAAGAGGATCTTTAGCAAGCCTTGCATTCAGTACATGTTTTTTATAAGATACATGTACTTTTATTTTGGTATTTTAACTTCACGTAGACTTGTTAAAAGAATAGACATGCGCGACTGAATGTGATTTAATTGTGGTATTAACACTTAAATATTTGGTCAAATACGTCCTTTAGGAATTCCATATATGGACGAAAATTGAATTTCTTGCGGGAAATAAATTGTTTATACATATATTCATGCCTTAACAGATTGTCCCCATGGCTACGGTTAATGACATTTGTAATTATATCTGGTCATACACACTTGATTAATTTACTTATAAGTAATAAAGCGAACACAAAATAATATCCACTTTTTCCATTATAATATCCGCTTCTTCGGCGCTTCTTTTTGCTAACGCTGGGACACACCAGCTCGGTATTCGCTACAGGGGATAAAACACAATCAGAACTTTCATCAGCAAAATGCCAACCGTGAACGTTTGTAGTCTGTTCTTGACAGACGAAATTAAAACCATGTCGAGTGTTGTACCAATCGTTTCAAAAACGGAGAAACTCTCCGCAGGTATTCTATCACTCCCGAGATAGATTCAGGCGGAGGAATACAAAATGGCGGATATTACAGGACTAGTTTGAAATCTTGCCATGATGTGGCGCCTAAACGAGCAATCTCTGTATTTGACAGAAAACGTAGCTAGACTATTTAAGGGAGAAGAATGGTAGGTGCATTCTTAAAGTTTTGAAGCGTTTCCTTGGAGACACATTACGAAGGTTGATAAGAACATCGCTAACTGTAAGTAAATTTCATAATCATATTATACTGATTACTGATATTTTGATTAAAAGCAAGTTTTGTAATATTATATAATCATTTTTGTAACAATTTAATTGTGATTAAAAATATTTGTTTTTCTTTAATTTGTTGATGTCAGAAATATTTTTATAGTAAACCGAAAACCTTAAGTCGTGGACACTTCAAGAAGACTAAGTACAATGTTTCGGATGCATATAGGGACAGTTTAAAAGTTTCCTTAATTATAATTTCTAAATCAAACTAAGTAAGGGTTTTTATAGAGTGATGTGTAGGAATGAAAATAAACACATAATTATATAGTTAAAGTATGACTCAGTAATTCAAAGACAGCGACAATAAGCGCTCGATTTCGGAATATTTATTTATTTATTTATTTATTTATTTTCAAGATATTGTCTTCAACCACTTTTAAGATGATGCCAAAACTAACGATTTAGAATAAGGCTGTTGTCGTTTTTTTTTTCGTGTCTTTAATTGTACAAAGTAGAATATTTTGTTGTGTTGCATAACAATGTAAACATGCGTTTCAAACATTTTAGAAACCAAGGAAAGATGAGCCGACGACTAATGGTTATTGTGTGTATCACAGCTATACTGATATCAACGGTCACGTGTCTACCAGACGCCATGTTGTCACCCCCAGACCGACCGAATGAGTTCCGATCCCCAGGCCAGCTCAGAAGTTACCTCAAAGCACTAAATGACTATTATGCAATAGTTGGAAGACCAAGGTTTGTCAATTCTTTACGTTTATCTCACAGGTTGTGTAGTTCTCAGAAACTGAAAAGATTAAAGTTTCTTCCTGTCTTTGTATAAAAGTATGATAGGATAAAGAAAAAAACTATTATTATTATTATTATTATTTATTATTGTATCATTAAGAGTGACTGTATTGCAAGTTAATCACGGCATGTGATTAGCTTTTCTTTAATATTTATCTTGTACATATTTATTTAACATAACAAATTATTATTATTATTATTATTATTATTATTATTATTATTATTATTATTATTATTATTATTATTATTATTATTATTATTATTGGTTCAGTAAGGGGGGGGGTGTATTGCAAATAAATCACGGCATATGATTAGCTTTTCTTTAATATTTATCGTGTACATATCTATTTAATATAACAAAGCCTATATTTGTCCGTATATCCAGTATATTCAAATAAAGTTTTCAAACTATTTAATTACGGAAAGGAATCGTTGTGTTATAAAATGTATACAACATTTAAACAATGTACAGAAAAAAGGTACACAATAATTACTTAATTGGTGAATTTCTTAAGATTCATATTTTCAATTTATTGCAAATTTACATATCTCTTTTAGAAATGCAAAGTAAAACTATTTTGAGCAATTGATAAGTAGTGCTAGCATTATAAATATTTCTTTATTTTATTATTTCTTTTATCTTCTATTTTTAATTATGACTTTTTATTCGTTTTACTTTCTACTAATCTATTAATCTATTGCGAATTCAACTATTAAAATTGTCTGAAAATTAAACATGTTTTTTTTGTTAAAAGAAATATAATCTTCGTATGTATATTTTTTTGTTATTTAGGTTCGGTAGAAGTGCATACAAACAGCCAGCAAGAAACACATTTCAGGATGAATCAATGGACAGTGGTGCGTGTGTTATATTTTTTCTTTCTTTCTTTTTTTCTTACGCCGAAATTCACTATATTTACATAAGTACAATTTATAGCATTTTAATAATACCAGCTCAGTGCTTTGGTAAAGATTTGTTATAAAACTATGTAATCATGTAAAATAACAGTCTTAGCAACGCTCCAATCTTTGGAGTTTCTAAAAACAACAAAATAAAAATGTGTAAATCTTTAAATAATGTTAGGAAAAGATAGCAGTTTAATTAACAAATTGAACTAGAGCTATTTATGTCAGTAATAATAAAATTTCTATGTTATTTTTTGCCAGCAGCTTTAGATATTCCAAGCCCTTAAACTGGCTTATTTAAAAAAAAAATACAAAATGGTCACAATCGTAGCAATTCATGATTTTTCAGTTTTCGCTTTCAAGTAACTAAATGATTACGTCTGTACTTACAATATATCAGTACGTATGGAGGTAAAATGTAACAATTCACTCGATGAATATAAGGAAAACATAAAAATAAAACAATGTCCAAAAAATGTATTACCTGTAGTATGATCATAACCTTGATTAAAAATATTGGCATTGGAAAAACATGAGAAGTGGGTATATTAATCGTAGTTGATAGCAGTACATAAAGATGACAGTACATGTACGAGTAATTCGATCCGGATCTAACTTACAGTGTTTCATGATGGTCCCGTCAAAGCAACATAATTATGAAATATATTTTTATTGTAAAACAGTCACTTGCGTAAACATGTAAACAATCTTACTACCAGACTAAAATCGAATTTTCACCGGTCTTGATTATTTTTGAAATACTGTTCATGTATATCTATATCAACATTTATATTTTAGTTTGATTTTAATGATATTTCAATACTGTATGTTTGTAACAGCTATTTTCATTGTACATTACTTATAAAGGGCTGCTGAACATTTATAAATTAATGTTTATTTTGAAGAAGAAAACAAATGCAATTGTTCTTAATACATGTACATATACCGGTTTTTCTAAGACTTTTTTTCAATTTTTCAATTTTTTTGGTCTTGTACAGACGATTGTTTGCTTTATTATCGTCGTCATATTAGCTCTACTGTACTTGTAGTATTGAATCAATCATATTACAAGGCACTATTTAAAGCAAAGATCTATTGACAGTTTCTTTATTAATTTTCGATCTCTACATTTTATCACGTTCACTTTTCTTTTCGGCAGAATAGACTATGGTTACATTTGGGATGACGGTCTAGCACGTGATGCTTTTGACGTTAATGATGACGACACCATTCCATTCTACTGATTTATAAACACACCAACAAGAGTTCCATGTAGATTTCATCTTCCTAGCTGTATATATATACTTTATTCTCGCAAAATATTCAATATTTTATATGTAAATCAATTCTGCATTGCGGGATAAAAAAAAGCATTGACAATAACATTTTATAAGCACACTGACAAAATAGACAAGTATTCAAACTAATATATAGACAAATATAGAATAACATATTGTGTGTCGGGAAATACTAGTATACCATGAAATTAGGAAAAAAAACTTACTTTGATAATATTAGATCTATAATACATCGCAATTTAACTAACCGACAGTTACAGATCATGGCAACATAATTTGAATGTATAATTGACGAAGTTCAAATAAAGACTGGTACACGTGTTAGCATCAGCAGAATAGAATGGACATCTCATCCAGACGACACATCATTTGACTATGTAACATCGGCTCGTCATTTTGTTTGTTTGGATTTTCTTGCAAAATAATTATGATTTTTTAAATAAAAATAAAAATAATCCCGTCTTTACTTGTATTATGTATACAAAACAAAAACATAACAAGAAAATCGTAATTTAAAAGTTCTATAGATATTGGTTTATTTCTGTATCCAAATCTGTACCTTCGCCCGTACTGGTGTACGCCCTGAATGCTTTGCAACCTCATCGCTGATCGGAGAGTAGTGCATTAACGGAAACTGACGGTGAATCAAATGTTCCACTTGTTCGTCATCTCCGTCCGTACACGTTTTCTGTTTGATCGATACGTTCCAATCCTCCCCGAAACGTTAATAAAATTTGGAACGGACTTCACTTAACAAAGGTGTCACCTTTCTGATGTTTGATTTAAGTGCGCGGCGCCCACAGGGCGGAGCTTTTTGTGTTTACCTTTTTTTTGTCCATGGACCCGATTTTTATTAATTAATGATTTTTAGCTGTAAATCGAAGGGATTTAATCTCTTCGATTTACAGCTAAAATAAATTCGGAAGCACGAATTCCTTTCGATTTCTATTATGTAAAGTCATATATTGGTCTCCCCTTCGGTGATTCGCAGCATGTCCAATTAATGAATGAGAACGGGAACAAAGCTATAAATAGATATGACTTTAACATTGAGAAAGTCCGAAAATCTATTTATAGAAGTAGTTTAATTAACCGCTATGGTAATTGATAACGAACTGATGAGTTTTTCCAGAATGAAATACAAACATATTCAACCATAAATTGCACCCTTTATAACTTATTAAAAAAAATTAAAGTAAATTTATAGTTCCCCTGATTATTTAAGTCGACTCTGGTGTCCCGAATTTTTGCTATTAGAAGTTGATTCCATTTTGTTTGAAATGGTGGTTTGAGTGGAATGTTGATTTGCCGAATACTGCGACATGTATTTTAACAGCGGAAACTTTCGTCGAGATGTTATGGGTTTATTGATTGTAAACACACTGGTGGGTCATACGAGGATTTTGAAGCAATTCAACAAAGTAGATTCATCTCCCAATAAATCAATTAACAATAGTTTTTTATTTATAACCTATGTCAAGTAGCGTTTATGTCTTTGACTTGCATGAAAATGATGGTAGTGAATTTCCACATACCCTCATGATACCTGTACAGGTAACAGTCTTCCATTGATAAATAATGTTTCAATATATCAACATGCCATGCAAATTTATTCATGATTTTAAATGTACCATTATTTTGTTAACGCGTATAACAAAAAAAATCCTGAATTTGGTCTTTTAGAAATTCATGCCAAATTTTTCATTCCAGTGTGTGTTCTTTTTTCAGTATTTATCTGAGACTTAAAATATAGCTACTATATCTTAAGTCCAAGGCATCAAAGGAAACCATTTTTCTTAATTTGATAGAAAAATGCCTGTTACATTACATATTAGTCTCTTTTGTTACTATTTTATATGCTGTGTGTACATTTGTTACAATTATAATAAAAACAGACTTTGTTCAATTTGACTACTGTTTTGTATGTTCCAAAGAAAATACATTTAATATCTTTATTTTTAACAAGCCGGCCAAAGTTCATAATGAACAATGTCTTTCGTCCGCCCATTAATCTATGATATACATGTACAATAATGGTAAAATCCAATTAACCATTGAAAAGTTTAATAGTATATCTGGTCATGAGATGTCTACTAGTTCATCTTCACTTGCTGCATTTCTTGCTTGGACGCCATTTGATGCTTTGCATCAATGCCTTTCTTGTTTAACATGATATACCATTTGGCGTGAAACATGTAACGGACATTTTGAAAAATAAAGTCGATTTGGCTTATTTACAAATACACCTGTAGTGTGAAGTTTAAAACATAACATTTCTACTTTGTGAAGTCAAAACACGTTTATTTTATATTTATAAAGATACTGTGTATCCATTGTCGATATTATTTAATTTGAGCATAGAATATCTTTCAACTATAATTTGAAGAAATGTCATAGCCTGGGGCATTTAAGCCTTATAGCGTCCCCTAAAGGAGGCAATCAAATCAATATGAGCAAACTTGATAAAAGACAACCTAAGAATGCTATAGACAAAATATGGTGATAATCCATCAATTATTTCAATAGTAGATAATGTTCCAAAGTTTTTTTTATTTTTAGCTTTAGCGACCCGTAAAAGGGGCCAATCAAAATAATATGAGCAGATTTGATAAAAGACTCTCCAAGAATGCTACAAGCAAAATTTGGTGATCATCCATCAATTAGTTCTGCAGAAGGAGACTTTTAAATGTATTTCTAATTTGCGCTTTAGCGGCCCCTAAAAGTGGCCATTCAAATTAATATGAGCAAACTTGATAAAAGACAACCTAAAATGCTAAAGACAAATTTGGTGATCATCCATCAATTAAACCTGTAGAAGCAGAAGTTTAAAGGAATTTCTATATTAAACTTTATCGGCCCCTAAAAGAGGCCAATCAAATTAATATGGCCAATCAAATAAATATGAGCAAACTTGAAAAAAGACTACATAAGAATGCTACAGACAAAGTTTGGTGATTATCCATCAGATATGTAGTAGAAGATGTGTAATTTCTATTTCTATTTTTAGATCAAGTGGCCCCAAAAAGGGACCAATCTAATTCATATGTGCAAATTTGATAAAAGACTACCTAAGAATGCCACAGACAAAGTTTGGTGATCATCCATCAATTAATTATGGAGAAGGAGACGTTTAAAGGTAATTCATTTTTTTAGCTTTAGGGGCCCCTTAAAAGGGCCAATCAAATTCATATGAGCAAACTTGATAAGAGACTATACCTTAGAATGCTACAGACAAAGTTTGGTGATCATCCATCAATTAGTTCCGTTAAAGCAGACTTTTAAGGTATTCCTCTTTATAGCTTTAGTGGCCCCTAAAAGCGGCCAATAAAATTGATATGAGCATATTTAAAAAAGGACTACCCAAGAATGCTACGTTTAAAGATATTTCTATTTTTAGCTTAAGCGGCCCCTAAAAGGGCCAATCAAATTCATATGAGCAAATTTGATAAGAGACTACCCAAGAATGCTACAGAAATAGTTTGGTGATCTTCCATCAATTAGTTTTGTAGGAGACGTTTAAAGGTATTTCTATATTTAGCTTTAGCAGCCCCTAAAACGGGCCAATCAAATATATATGAGCAAACTTGATAAAAGACTACGTAAGAATGCTACAAACATAATTTGGTGATCTTTCATCAATTAGTTCTGTAGAAGGAGACGTTTAAAGATATTTCATTTTTTAGCTTTAGCGGCCCCTAAAAGGAGCCAATCAAATTAATATGAGTAAACTTGATAAAAGACTACCTAAGGATGCTACAGCCAAAATTTGGTGATCATCCATCAGTTATGTAGTAGAAGATGTGTATAGGTATTTCTATTTTTAGCTCAAGTCGCCCCTAAAAGGGGCCAATTACATTCATATGTGCAAATTTGATAAAAGACTACCTAAGAATGCTACAGACAAAGTTTGGTGATCATCCATCAATTAATTATGGAGAAGGAGACGTTTAAAGGTAATTCATTTTTAGCTTTAGGGGCCCCTTAAAAGGGCCAATCAAATTCATATGAGCAAACTTGATAAGAGACTACCTTAGAATGCTACAGACAAAGTTTGATGATCATCCATCAATTAGTTCCGTTGAAGCAGACTTTTAAGGTATTTCTATATTTAGCTTTAGCAGCCCCTAAAACGGGCCAATCAAATATATATGAGAAAACTTGATAAAAGACTACGTAAGAATGCTACAAACATAATTTGGTGATCTTTCATCAATTAGTTCTGTAGAAGGAGACGTTTAAAGGCCCCTAAAAGGAGCCAATCAAATTAATATGAGTAAACTTGATAAAAGACTACCCAAGGATGCTACAGATAAAATTTGGTGATCATCCATCAGTTATGTAGTAGAAGATGTGTAAAGGTATTTCTATTTTTAGCTCAAGTGGCCCCTGAAAGGAGCCAATTACATTCATATGTGCAAATTTGATAACAGACTACCTAAGAATGCTACAGACAAAGTTTGGTGATCATCCATCAATTAATTATGGAGAAGGAGACGTTTAAAGGTAATTCATTTTTTTAGCTTCAGGGGCCCCTTAAAAGGGCCAATCAAATTCATATGAGCAAACTTGATAAGAGACTACCTTAGAATACTACAGACAAAGTTTGATGATCATCCATCAATTAGTTCCGTTGAAGCAGACTTTTAAGGTATTTCTATATTTAGCTTTAGCAGCCCCTAAAACGGGCCAATCAAATATATATGAGCAAACTTGATAAAAGACTACCTAAGAATGCTACAGACAAAATCTGGTGATCTTTAATCAATTAATTATGGAGAAGGAGACATTTAAAGATATTTCTTTTTTTAGCTTTAGCGGCCCCTAAAAGGAGCCAATCAAATTAATATGAGTAAACTTGATAAAAGACTACCTAAGGAGGCTACAGACAAAATTTGGTGATCATCCATCAGTTATGTAGTAGAAGATGTGTAAAAGTATTTCTATTTTTAGCTCAAGTGGCCCCTTAAAAGGGCCAATCAAATTTATATGAGCAAACTTGATAAGAGACTACCTTAGAATGCTACAGACAAAGTTTGATGATCATCCATCAATTAGTTCCGTTGAAGCAGACTTTTAAGGTATTTCTATATTTAGCTTTAGCAGCCCCTAAAACGGGCCAATCAAATATATATGAGCAAACTTGATAAAAGACTACCCAAGAATGCTACAGACAAAATTTGGTGATCTTTCGTCAATTAGTTCTGTAGAAGGAGACGTTTAAAGATATTTCATTTTTTAGCTTTAGTGGCCCCTAAAAGGAGCCAATCAAATTAATATGAGCAAACTTGATAAAAGACTACCCAAGAATGCTACAGACAAAATTTGGTGATCTTTCGTCAATTAGTTCTGTAGAAGGAGACGTTTAAAGATATTTCTTTTTTTAGCTTTAGCGGCCCCTTAAAGGAGCCAATCAAATCAATATGAGTAAACTTGATAAAAGACTACCTGCTACAGACAAAGTTTGGTGATCCTCCATCAATTAGTTATGTAGAAGCAGACTTTTAAAGGTATTTCTATTTTTAACTTAGCGGACCTTAAAAGGGGTCAATCAAATTAATATGAGTAAACTTGATAAACGACTACCTTAGAATGGTACAGACAAAGTTTGGTGATCATCCATCGATTAGTTACTAAAGCAGACGTTTAAAGGTTTTTCTATTTTTAGATTTAGCGGGCCCTAAAAGGGGCCAATCAAATTCATATGTGCAAATTTGATAAAAGACTACCCAAGAATGCTACATTCAAAGTTTGGTGATCATCCATCAATTAGTTCTGTAGAGAAGACGTTTTAAAGGTATTTCAATTTTTAGCTATAGCAATCAAATTAATATAAGTAACTTGATAAGAGACTACCTTAGAATGCTATAGACAAAGTTTGGTGCGCATCCATCAATTAGTTCCGTTGGAGCAGACGTTTAAAGGAATTTCTATTTTTAGCTTTAGCGGCCCCTAAAAGGGGCTAATCAAATTTTTATGAGCAAATATGATAAAAGACTACCCAAGAATGCTACGTGATCATCCATCAATTAGTTCTGTAGAAGATGTCTAAATGTTTTAAAATTTTTCAGCTCTGGAGACCCCTAAAAGGGGCCAATCAAATAAATGTGAGCAAATTTGATAAAAGACTACCTGAGAATGATACAGACAAATTTTTGTGATCATCCATCTTTTAATTTTGTAGTAGAAGAGGTTTAAAGGTTTTTCTATTTTTAGCTCTGTTGACACCTAAAAGGGACTAATTGAAATGAATTTAAGTGTGACTGTCACAAGGATGCTACAGACCAAATTTAAGGTAAATCTGCCAAGCAGTTTCAGAGAAGATGACTGTTGACGCATGACGACGGACGATGAAATATCCCCCTTTGATACTAATAGCTCACCTTAGATTCTGGTGAGCTAAAAAGGGCACTCACAAGTAAAACTCACTTGCAGTGTTTGAACGCTTCAGAAATCGAGTAATACTCATTAACAAATCGGTTTTCACTTTTCAGATCATGAAAATCTTTCAAGACAAATCAAAAAAGAAAATATAAAAGAATAGTGTTGTTTTTTTTTTCAATTTATTGTTTAAATTGTAAGTTAATGGTACACAAAATTAGAACAAATATGAATCTGTAACATCAGTATGCATAGAAAACCCTCCATTGTTTAGGAAGCAACATGGACAGTGTACAGAAATAATGAATGATGGAGACAAAACATCATTTCCATCATTAACAATTTTTCATCCACACAAATTCATTCACTTATTATAATTAAATCCAGTTTATTTTAAACTTAAATCCAGTTTATTTTAGACTTATACAAGCAGAACTATTTTTAAAGTTTTCAAGATACATAAACATTTTGCACAAGTGAATTAACAGACAAAATTAAAGCTAAATAGATGACATAAATTATGTAAAAGTATGTGGTTTTTTAGCAAATATATCACAAAACTGTTTGTATGTAGAATATGAAATGATTTTCTTTGAAATTTATTATTTTATTACATGGTTTTTGGGAGCAAGTCATTTTGATGTTTCCAGGATATTGGTGTTCTATATAAACATAGAGATCTGATATGCTCACTGGCTTTTAACAGACAAGATAATATCACCGCTGGTTCTCAAATGGTCAGGACCTATCTCCTTATCATATATTACATTTACATGCATATAATCGTTTAAATTATAACTAACTAAAACATTCATGTTGCTTATACAGTCATTACATGATTAACTAAATGATTTTGATGAAAATTTTAATTGTACACATGCTACCAAATTCTTATAATGAATACCATAACAAATGAAAACCTGATGAAACTAGGACTATCACGAAAGGTAATAAATATCCCCCTCATACAGATCTTAGGTGCTAGTACAAATAAGGGCCTCACTTGACCCTTTTCTTATTACTAAATTCAAAAACACTTCAGAGGCTTTTCAGGTGAAGGTCTTTCAAGTTCAGGTCATAAATAAATATAACAATTTAGTTTGAAGTTCAAGGTCATTTTTTAGTCAATGTCAAACTTGATCAGAAAAAGTAGATTTTGTGTCAATTTCTCCTGTCAAGATTTATAAAATTTGGTTGTGTGGTTTGAAGAAAAGCACAAACAGATGGCCAGGTGGATATATACTTAAGTCTTACAATATTTGTCCTTCTATTATAACAGAATAGTAAATTTCATAAATAGACGTTTTGGACAAAAATCTGTAACTGAACATGATTAATAAATACATTTTACATTGTAATACATGCCACCTATATAATCAGTCCCTCAGAATCCATGCACGATTAAGACAAAATAAAATATATGTCTCAATAATAAAGCAAACAAAACATTTTATCCAAAAGCAAAATTAAAAAGAGTCTTAGGTAAAGTACACTGTTTCACATGCCTTTCAATTAGTTAATACATGCACAGAATGTCAACTACAAATAAAAGGATATACAGAAAACCTTTGTCAAGACATTAAAACATTTATTTATGATTCCTTTTGGCCAATTTATAATTAAACACTTTCTTGCGCCAGACGATATGCCAACAAAATAACTTCCCTTCATCTATACAGGACTTATAGAAGTTTTGCCTTTATGTTCCAGAATAAACAGTAAATCCTTAAACAAGAACACAAGTACATTATAAACAAGGAAATTCAAAACTTAAACCAGAATAATTTAAAAACATGTATCCCTAGTTGAAAACAAAGTATTTTTCATAAATGTAGACAATGTAAAAAGCATGATTATAATCACAGATAAGTAAAAACTTGTGTTTGCTGTATAATAATAAGGCACATTTTAAAAAAAACAAAAACAAAAAAACAAACAAGTAAGTATTATTTCACCAACAAATTACCCACACAAACAATACACCCATTTAAAAATACCAACCACATTTTACAGTATTTCCTCGACATTATTTCAGAATAAATGTCTACTATTTCTTCAAAATCTTTTGAAACATAAAATTTCATCATTTAGTCCTTAATAATACATTCACAAGAATTCAGTCATATTTATTAATTTCTTTTATAGAAATCATTAAGCACTTGCGAAAAAATCCTCAATATAAAACTTTTTCATACTTGTAAAAGAAGTATGAGCTTTTATGCATTCTAAGATTGCAAATAATATCTGAAATTTATGTAATTACATACATAAATATTTTCTTACAACAGGGTTTGAAATTAAATCTTCATTCATAACGGTGAAAAACGTCACCCAAAGCATGCCATTGTGCAATCGGAAAATCTGTTCCAGGTGGGGGGACCTACCCATGGGTGTGTTATTCTGATCTGTAGAGTAAGCAGGTCAGATATTTTTCTTGCATATTCTACCATATTCCATTTTAACGACCATTGAATTCTTTACCTTAATAAAAACTATTTTACCATAGAAATTTAGGTCATTACACACACAAATATTTTCTTACAACAGCGTATGAAATTACAACTTCATTCATAACAGTAAAATTGCAACAATCCAGTCATGCCATTGTATAGCAGTGTTAGTTTTACCCATGCCAGATGAAATTTCCGGCATGGTAAAACTAACAGAAACGCCAGTCTGCTATGCAAGAAATAATATGAATCTTTCTTTCTTATTACCTAAATGATACATCAGGTATAATGGACTAGTCCTCCTTAAGATCAGGTATAGAACATCACTTGTTTCAGTGATAAAATATATATATAAATAACTTTAATTTAATCAGCCATAGGTATGATCCTATCGTCTAGCGGAGCACGCTTGCCTGGCTCTATACAGCCGGCATAAGCCAATTGGTTTCGCGTCCTTAACTTTGAGGTTTTAAACATGAAATGTTTACCACTCAAAGGATATTACAATCCAAAGAGGACGACAAGTTTGGTTTTTGTTTCTGGTTTTGTGTCATGCAGAAATAGTCTTGTTCACTTTCTTTTATATATACTAAAAGTTGTTTCCTTGAATGTTCTTAAAATAAAGAATTCTATGCCATTCCAAAGGATTTTTTAACACTTAATTTGCTGGAATTGAAAGTGACAAGCTTTTGCCACCAGGATAGATCTAGGCCAGCCTGTACATCAGTGCAGTCTGCCAGCGTCTATACTGTCAGCTAAGTAACTTTACATTTTCATCTTTATTGATAATGGACAGTTACACAAATGGAAGCTGGACAAATCCATTTATGAAATTCAGCAGCTTAATACCCAGTGTTTTTCCTGCTTATATAACAGACTCTCAAAAAAGGCCTCTTCCCAATTGAAATTTTCTTTAAAAAAATAGCAGTTTTCAAAAAAAAAATTGACCTTAAACCTGCAGGTTTACTTCCCAAATAAGCAATTTTGGCGGTAAGTTTTCCCAAGAGGCTAAGGCTTCTTCTCAATAGAGTTGTAAATACCTGTAAATCACTGTAAATACCAAATATATTATGCATTTTTGGCAAATTTCCCTTCCTTTACATCTATTACACAGATTAAAGTGATAATTAAGTTCTAAGACTTAATCTGTAAGTTACATCCTTAAATTAATTCTTTTAAGCTTAATTGAGAAGCAAATTCATTCAACTTATAAATCACTTTTAATGATTCTAGTAGGGGTTCAACCCATAGTTTGCGGCAGAAACCCAAGTCTTCATTAGACTTGATTCTTAATAAAAAAAACTTTACCAATTTTACTTATATTTTTCTTTATGTAGAAGGCCTATAAAAGTGACATTGAAGTTAATTTCTTTTTAAATTAACTTTGATTATTTGTTTTGCTTGTCTTATTATCTAGTATAATACTGTGTGCTGATACAGCATCCCAGCGGACACCATAGTAATCCAATCATGTGATCATTTGCATATATATAGCGTCATCTACAAACATGATATATTGACCTAGATGTTATTATCCTACATGATTAGCTTAAACCATGATAGTCATGTTTACTTTATACTAAAAATTGAACGGTTTATAAATCAGTGAGAGGCGAGTCATTTTTTACTATAACATTTTGCAAGAAAAATATAATGGCACTCATGGGGACCATTCTAGGTAGAACAAGAAAGATGATGAAAATCAGTAAGCCATAACATGAGGTAAGATGAGATAACATATACGTCTAATGTCATGTTTAATTCTCATTCAACCTTTAAACTACGATACTATTATTGCATTGTCTATTTTAAATATTTCAAAATTCAAAGACATAAATTATATACTGTATCAGATTCACTATCAAGTTAAATCTTCATTTTCATTATTTGATTCACTGTCAGTATTATGACTGTTATTGTTTGTGTCACTTGGCGTAACTTGTTTAGTTACAACACTGTCGTCTGGGGGCGGAGACGGTGACGTCTGCTTCACATGATTTAACATGGCCGCCATATTCGCTCCTTGCAGACTCACTATCTGACCATCTGTTGTCAAAACTGGAAAAAAAATTGTAAATTATCATAATTTGATGAAAATTTTTCTTTTTTTTCCCATAGCAAAATGTTAATATAAATGTGAAAATCCTGTTCTTGATACTAATTTTGTCAAATCATTATATTTCCATTTGAAAGTCCTGCCTTGAAAAAACATTGTCAATACTTTTTTAAACAGATTAAGTGATTATGCAGAAGCAAGATAATTCATTATTTTTGATAGACGAAGATCCGAAGTTTCTGGGTTTCTTAAGTTAGTTATAAATCTCTGCCAAGACAAATTGTCCATTCAATTTATTTGTTATTGTCAATAAATAAACAGCACAGTTGACTATTCAGTACTCAGAGTTATGGGACCTCTGCCCATCATGTTAGATAATCACAAAGATCAAGTTCCAACGCAAGAAGTTTTGGATATACAAACTTGCAAGCAAAACTAAACAAGAAGTGTGACGACAACGGTAAACCTCGAGGAGAGTTTAATAGGCTAAGCTTTCCCTATTCTTTGAACAGCCAAGCTAAAAAGATATGATTTCCAAACAAGCACTTCTCAGAAGGAACAATATATGTTAATGAAATCTGATAGTAACCCAAAATTTTTGCAAAAATAAATAACACATTAAAATCACAAGGGTTTTTTATTTTTCTAATTAAACAGTTCTGATCTGTATTTGTTTTTCAATAATCTTTCCAGTCCGCAAATGTTTTTAATCTGAATTTTTCTTTTGCGTTTCACAAGTTCTGTTATGACAAAGATATTTATCACAATACTTACACGCCCCAGGAGGTATAACAATGGTTTGGTTTATAGATGATAATGAAGACAGACTGGTCGCCGATGGAGGAGAAGTTGTCACAGTTTCTGTGGTCAGTCCAGTTGCAGCAGTTGCATTCTGGGAGTTATTACCAGCAAATGGCCAGAATCTCTGCGGAGGTTTACCCTGGGGTTTGGCCTTTTTTGCCTTGGCTTGTTCAGGATTACCAGCATCTAGCATTGGCTGTAAAATCCTTCTACGGGCATTTATAAACCTATACAAGAAATAAGTTAACAAAGATTGTGAGCATAGTACTGCAAAGTAGCTAACACTGCAAATTGCAAGTCAATTAAACACATTTTAATGCTCTCAATTTTCCTAATACTGATTCAATTCATCATAGATATTTTCCTTTGATAACCATATGAAGCAAGGTTGAATAAGTTGGTCGGCAGGGGCAGCAAATCAATTTGTCTAAATTGCCTATCTTGTTTCGCAGCCTGCACAATAAGTGGAAGTTTTCAAGAAATAACAATATAAATATCATACAGACATGTTAAGAAATGCTTAAGATAAAAAAACCTTCCAATTAAGTCAAAAGCAGATTTTGCCGACCTTGATCAAGTGGATAAATCTTGTATGACTGCCTACTATTCAATAACCACAGACAACTTATTTTCAAATTTACATTTAATGTTTTTAAAATGGATGATGACAATGATGTACTAAGTGATTAACTTTATACAAGAGAGAATTTTACCAGTTATTGACTTGTAGAAGTGTTAGATTGGTCTGTGATGCAATCTGTCTCTTCTCGTCTTCTGTTGGGTATGGATGCTGAAATATATCATAAGATAATGATAGGGTAGAAAATATCACTATATCATCAGTAACTACCTCTTCATGAGACATTACAACAAAACTTGAAACAATCATGACTTAATCATAAACTGAAATAGTCAAAACTTCATTAATTGTAATATATTGTACATCTAACTTATAACAAATGAAGAAAATATCATGAAATATCTATAATGATAAAGTTATCAAAACTTTAATAATTGTTTACTTTTAAATACATTTAAAATTCTCAACAGAAAGATGTTCAATGATCTAAAATAATAATCCTGCTCAGCAAGTGATTCGTATTCCATACTTCTAGCTTACAACTAAAGACACAATATTCCAGACCATTATGCTTAAAGGCTTGTTATACCCAAAAAATGCTTTTATTCTTATTTTTCAAAGGCTTTTTATTTTGGTGACTTGTTATAGTTACCAAATAAATACTTTTTGGACAAAAACTTGGACTTTCTATTGCCTTCTAGTGCTTTTTTGCAATAAGTACATTTGAAGTCAAAATACTATTTTGGTTACATTTTACTACTTTTTCTTTGTCAAGAAAAATGTCAAAGCCATCACTTCTTTCTTCAAGTAATAAGCATTTAATTTGTTCTAAAACCATTATTTAAAAGTTGTAAAACTCATATTTTGCATTTCTTAAGTGAAAAATTTATTTGTTTCTGAGGCTCAACTATCTATAAAGTTGTTAGAGATTACCATAACAGAAATCAACACAAGGCATGTGTGCATTCATACATAAAAATTATTATACATCAAAACAACTTACCACAATATGTTGAAAGAGCCATGATTTCATGATTTGGGTAGCACTCTTTGGTAAAACACCTCTTTTATTCTTCTTTTTCCCGGAATCATCATCATCCGAGTCAAAACCACTGCCCACATTAGTTAAAGTATTCACAACTGAAATAACAAGTGTATTCGATACTTTTTGCTTAGCTTTACACTGATTTTAACACATTTTTAGCCATATCTCATGGTGGTAGGTCCGCCATACCGGCTTTTTAGAAAAACTAACCAGCAATTTACAATTTCTCTACAAAATTTCTGAACCCACGACGTGAGTCGATTGACCATTAACAGGGTTTTCATTTTTATCTGAGGCAACAGATGCGCTAAAGAAAACAATCTATATGATCAAGGGTCAAGGAGGATATATTATCACACAAGATAAAAATACAACTGATTTTTAACAGCATTTTAATCAATGATCTGATTACCAACATGCTATTGATAACCCTGCATTAATTGTTCAAGGTCAATAGTCAAGTTGAATTTCTGCCTCACCCGATGGATCAAACTTCCAACCAATGAATTACAAATGATCAAATGAGCCGCATCACGACAAAACCAACATAATGGGTTTGCGACCAGCATGGATCCAGACCAGCCTGCTCATCCGCACAGTCTGATCAGGATCCATGCTGTTCGCTAACAAACCCTATAACAAGTAAAGAAACTGCTAGCGAACAGCATGGATCCTGATCAGACTGCGCGGATGCACAGGCTGGTCTGGATCCATGCTGGTCGCAAAACCACAATGTTGGTTTTGTTGTGACACGGCTCAAATGCTCTCCCTCTTGAGCTAATTACATAGATAGATGTTAATATTATACAAATAATGATGATGCTATGGTCATGTACCCATCAGTACCATCGATTGTGTGTGAGATGTGTGTGAGATAACCGGGCCATAAAATATACACAAAATGAACATTTTTTAATTTTGTGGCAAAAAAGATGTTAATAGAGGAAAGTACCTTATAAAATTGATAATGACTACGGAATACATGTGATTGTTTAATGCTTGTCTGTTAATGAAAACAAACTTTTTTACATTATACAAGGCTTGTGGCAATAATTTTCTTTATGGTAACCTTGGGGAAAAAAATGGCATTTTTATTCATAAACAGAATTATTTAAAGTCATTCAGATTGGATTTCTAGGTCTGTTAATAAAAAAAACTGACATAGTTCATTAAGACTACTGTATGACAATACAAGGTTAGCTTTTAAAAAAGCTAGTAGCGACTCGCTTCGTAATTTTTTTCCAGGGGTGCGTTTAAATGTAAAAATGACAGTTCTGTTAGCTGAAGAGACTTCAGCGAACATCAAAATAAAAGTGACATAAAGTTATGGAAGCCAGTTTCACTCAGTTTAACAAAGAGGAATATGAGTATATATGAAGATGCATGTAAACAGATAGAATGAAGTCCCTATGTCTATGCACATTTACTATATGGCCTTTTGACCTTGACCTTGACCAAATAAATGTTAGATAGGAAGAATTCATAAAGATGTCTCTTTATACGAAGTTAAGTTGTAATATGATATTAAGTATTGGAATGAGTGACAGACACAAGTCCTAAAGTAAACACAAGTTGTCAACTAATTCAGCCAGATAAGCCGGGATCCTATTAAAACATGTAGGGATCCCGGGAATTGACCAGTTCAAGAATATAGTTTTCAGAAAAGCCGGGATCGTATTAAAGTCTAAAGAGATCCAAGGAATTGGCCAGTTCAAGAATAGTTTTCAGGAAAGCTGGGATCGCATTAAAACATAAAGGGATCCCGGGATTTGACCAATTCAAGAATGTAGTCTTTGATTTTTCCAATTAATTAGGCATATAATTATAAGTATTGTGATTTTTATGTTTGTTGATAAATAGCTCTAAATATATTTATATCCAAAGTTTAATTAATTTAACGTTCATTACATACAATAAAAAAACTTTTAATGGCCTTTCATTACGACAATAATCAACACAAATATAGTTTTTCCTCTATATCTCATACTACCCCGGATCCCGGCCAGTCCGGGCGTCCCGGATCCCGGCCAGTAAATATATACACTAAATACCAGAAAGGATAAAATGACCGGAAAAAAAGGGAAAAGAAAAAATGCACAGAACCAGTGTACACTTATGTTAATTAACCAAACGAAAACTTACTACAGAGGAACAGGTGAAATCGCTAAATCAAAAGTCAGTGTTAATATGATTTATTGAAAATAATTCATGAAAACAAACATTTTTAATCATCATAATATCTTTGCGCTCAAAACAATACTTGCTGCTTTTTAAATATGGCGTGAAAATTGAAGGTTTTTTGACGCTATGTAAGATTAAATTTGATTGGCTAAATAATTTTGGATCCTAGCCCTGATAGATAAATTTTTATAGAAAGCTGGAAGCCAAGCTTCGATTAAATTTTTGGATGGATTCGGAGTTTTAGGTTGTTTCTCAGTAAAATCCTAACGTAATACCGGCTCGCCGTGGCGAGCCGGCAATAGTTAAAGCTATTTTATATATATAAAGGGGGACAACTTTGGAGAGCAACATTTCAGGAATGCCATTATTAATTTTGTCATACCATTATTTTGTTTCTAGCTTGAAAATCATGATTTCTGTATACTATATGGGGAGTAGTTGTTTCCAAATTGGGCAAAAATGTTAAAATGAGTAGTCTCACTTTGGGTTAAAATAATGGGCAAACAGACTGTATGATCTTATTGTTATAATGTTCATATAACATAAAATACAATTGTAGTGGACAAAATGTTAAAAAAAAATCTGCTCAACACATTTCAACTATGTTAAACAGTCCAATGCATTACTTAGAAGTAAACCGAGTCATTTGAGTTGACCACTGATAGACTGTGACAATTGACCAATCATTTCTGTTAATCTAAAAGATGTAACCATTTATCAACATAAATTTAATGCCTTTTTTTAAATGAAGAAATAATGGAAAATGTTAAAAGAAGGCAAATATATTTGAATTTAACCCATTACTTCATATACACGCCTTTTAACGCCTTTTCCACCCCCCCCCCTTTTTTGTTGTCTCAAATGATGAAAAAATGCCTTATTTAGGCCCCAAACACTTGTTTTTGTTTGAGAAATGAAAATTTTGGACTTGTGAGAGGCTGTAAATGACCCCAGATTGATCATAAGGTAACGTGTAACCAACGCTGAAAAGCATTTGACTCTATCTCAATCCATTGAGAAGTTGCAGCACTTTGAAATCAATTTTGATGGAAAAAATCAACGCAAAATAGTGATTTTTGGCAATTTTGAGATGTCCCCTCGTTGCCATGGTAACAGAAAATTTAAGCCTGAGCATGTTGTTGCAAGGACAATGGTCCAGTCAACATTTGTGCCAAGTTTGATTAGTGTTGAAGCAGTTTTTATAGTATTATAGCAATTTGAACTTGTAACGGGAGACTTTTCAATGAAAACAGCCATTTTTCACAAAATGCTCATGAAGTAATGGGTTAAATGTATCAATATTTTTACCTGTATTATAAAGGTTATCATTATTTTTACCTGTATTATAAAGGTTATCATTATTTTTACCTGTTTTATAAAGATTATCATTATTTTTGCCTGTATTATAAAGGTATCATTATTTTTACCTGTATTATAAAAGTTATAATTTTATTTACCTGATGAGGATGGGGATGTAGAAACTGCAGCTGGAGCTGACACCCCTATCTGAGACAATGGTGTACTCCCATGTATCAGTGGTGTTCCAATAGAGGGTGACTGTATCTATAATAATAAAGTTTTAAAAAATTCATGTTTATTCTGATATTTTCATTGTTAATTTAGTAAATGGATATAAATTCTTAAAGTGCATTACTGTAGAATAATAAACAGTTCCTGTTCAAAATGCGCAGTAATATAATCAGGAAGGTCGGTAGGCCTGAGAGGTTTATTACAAAGCATTTGAACAATAAACTATGCATTATTTTACTAAAATACAAGAAAAACTAATATATCTATATCGATTCATACATGCTACTAGAAAAAGTATTGACAGCAGCCCAAGACTGATTGACAGTAAAACAATGGCATAGAAAACATAGGAATTTACAAAGAGGAAGCTTGGATATTGATCAAAGAATTTTTTAATGTTTATAAATAGCCATATTAAAAACAAAATCCATGCAAGAGATGTGTCCTGGAAAAGGACCTTCAATCATGATTTGAAGAACATGAAAAAAGTTTCAACTTTATATGATTAGTAGTTTTAAAGATAAATGTTGCATCCAAACTGAAACCAAAAATTGTTAAAGTTCCCAAAGGCAGGGATCAAAAAACATTTTAGAGCCATTCATCATGCATCTGCTGAATTCTAAATGTCCTTATTTATTAAATGAATAATAGTCATACAGCACAATGAGAGGTTACAGTAAGGTTTAACCTAATAAAAAAGGGTAATCTGTCTGTTTGTGGATGGAATTTGCTTTGCAATTTAAATAACGGTGCTTACCTGAACAGGTTGTGCAACAAGTCCCTGTGGTGTTTGCACCATTTGATAGATGGTGCCACCAGACATGATCTGCCCAGGACCCAATGTAGGCATGGCCGTAACCTGAGACTGAAATGGCTGCTGCAGTATAACCCCACCCCCTGGAGCAGACGACACTATCGCTTGGACTGGTTGTGACATTTCTTCTTTGGGCGGTTCGTCAAACATAGACTGGTCATAGTCCGATTCTGTTCGTAACAAGTTTTCACTTTGAAGTTTGCCTTTTAAACAGTTAGTGTATCTTTGGCAGAAGTCTTTGCATAAATCATTCACTTTTTCCAATTCCAATAGATGAATTCTTAACACCTGTATTGCTTTTATCATCTGTACAAACAGATAGAAAAGATTTTACATTGTGGAAGTAACACACATTTATAAGAGGAATTTTACTCATAATTAAAATATTTTCAATGACCTAGATTCTTTGATCTTTCAATTAAAAAAGAAATATTTGAACAAAAAGGACAAAGTACTTATTCAAATAAAAACTAGAAATGTGTCCATAAGACACGGATGCCCTCACACACCACTGTTCTGTCAATCTTATGACTCTAGGTCAAATATTTTTTGGACTACATGTGCCACAAGTTGAAAACTAAAAATCAACAAAGGGCCATAATTCTGTTAAATTTGGTCGCAGCAAAAATTCCTTCCTTTACTACCATCTACACATTAAGGTTGTTAATCCCTGGAAGTTTAAACAAAATCTGCCATCCGGTTTAAGAGGAGTTGCGTTCACAAAATTTCTACATAGTATATAGTGGAAAAAATCAACAAAAGGCCATAATTCTGTTAAATTTGGTCGCAGCGAAAATTCCTTCCTTTACTACCATCTACACATTAAGGTTGTTCATCCCTTTAAGTTTAAGCAAAATCTGCCATCCGGTTAAGAGGAGTTGCGTTCAAAAGATTTCGGGACGGACATACCAACTTTTGATGTTTATGAGGCAAATCAGCTCATAAACACCACCTGGACCAACATCCAAAAGCAAAATTAGCTAATAAAAACAAAAAAAAATAGCTCTTAATTTGAATTTTATGAGTTTTTGTTCTTTATTTAACTACGGAATGAAGCTCATAAATATCAAATGTTTGCTCGGATGGACAGACGGACGGACGGACAAGTGCAACGCTATATGCTCCCATATTGTGGGGGCATAAAAATGAAAATCTAAAGAGTAAATAAGAATTGTTTGGTAAACACAAATGCCCCCGGCCTAGATTCTTAACCAGGAAAATAACTGGGGAAAATGAATGGCACAGTTATATAAGTGTATAAACTATTATGCATTTGGTAAAGGTAGAACTTAAAATAAATCAAACTTGCCAGTTTAAGGACAGACAGATGGACATACAAATAATTCAATTACTATATGCCTGGGGGCATAAAAAAGAAATATAAAACGAAGTTTCGTCTATAATGTAGCTTTCAAATTTTGAGTACAATCAGAAGAGCAGGCACAGCCTTTAAATAGTAAAATCATTTGTAAAGTTTTTTTAAGGTTCTAAAAAGATTCTATAGACTCAGACAAGAAATAGTTTACAGCTCTGGAACAATGAAAATCTGTCGTGAAAAAATTATGCTCTATCGAGCCTAAAATGAGTACATAAATCTTGACTACAAGTTTGATTTGTATACAATACTATACATATAATACAAACAAACAAAGAATGTTTTAAATATACAAACCAGATTATCTAAATCATCATCCCCTGAGAGAAGACTTTTCTTCTCTTTTTCCTGATGAAGTACAAATGCTTGCATGTCTGCAAGAACGCCCTCTGGTGAGGGGAAATCTGTAGCAGACGACGCTTGCTCACATCTCTCAAACATAAGAGCCATCAATGGAAACAAGGGATGTCTGGAAACATGAAAAATGGAGAAAATATATCATTCCAGTATTCAGATAATATTAGCTTAAAAAATTGTATGCTTTCAAATGTTTATTTAAATATATTCTTTTTAAGCAAAATTGTGATGACAGCTGGGCGCTTATTTGAATCACTTTCGAATCAAACAAATTACTCATTTACTGACTCATCATTAGGAATCAAGGTCAAGACCCCAGCTGGGCTTGAACCCATGATGCCTACCTTCAGAGGCAGATGTGTTAACTACTGTCTAAGCTGCAATTCAGACAATCAAGGGATCATTATTCTATGTAGTTTCGAAAACAAAGCTCAATACCAAATGGATTTCGATCTTCAAATATTATATTTAACAAACAACGACTAAAATATAAATTTACTTTACTCATCACATGGAAAATATACTTTATAACATTTAACTGGCCACTTTGAACACTGTTTTGAATAAAAACATCTTTGTTTTCATGAGATTGGAAGACTTTATTAGAGCCCATATCATGACAAAACCAACATAGTGCGTTTGCACAGTCTGATCAGGATCCATGCTGTTCACTTACAAAGTCTATAACAAGTAGATAAACTGATAGCGCACAGCATGGATTCTGATCAGACTGCACAACACCTAAAGTCTTCCTCTACCAGTCCCCATATGACCTGCACTGAGTTGGTGTGACGTAAAACCTAACGAAACTGGATCCATGCTGGTCGCAAACCCATTATGTTGGTTTTGTCATGACGCGGCTCATTTTTATGTCAAGTTTTAAGTCATCCTAACACTGACCGTCAAGGTCATATTGTGACTATCATAATCAAGTCTCTACCAGTCGCCATATGACATGCACTGAGTTGGTGAGACATAAAACCTAACGAAACAAAAACAAAGAAACAAAAAAAAACAACCAAGATCGAAAAAGAGGCATTACTGTGCAAATATGAATAACAGTGTTCATTCCAATTTTGATACACAACTGTTCAAAACTTGGAAAGAATACCTTTGATAGTTTTGAAGAATGAACTTTAATAGAAAGGTGAATATACTGAGGAAAAAAGGTGCATAACTTACGTATATATTGCTTGTTTGTCTTTTTCAAGGTTTGGTTCTGCAGGTAATGCTTGTACATTCTGTATTGGTGTTGCTGTAAATGTTCCCCCAACAAGATGGGCTGACACACTAAAAAATTACATCAAAATATTACAATGTTATATCAATACAATAATTCCTGTGATTCTGCTAAATACAGGCAGTTAACCATTCCCCAAAAATAGTGATATTTTTCAAAGAAAAAGATAAAAAGATGATATTTCTAAAAAAAAATGGTTCTTTACTCTTCTATTAACAAAAATTAAACTCAGTATGCAAATGTTTCTCTAACTGAATTAATTAATAAAAGAGAAGAATTTTGATAATGAAAATTGTAAATTCTGTCCTTAATCATATTTTGCATAAAACATTCTAAATTTAACCTGGGATTTAAATATTTAAACATTCCTTAAAATACATATTTGTATGTTGAGTCTTGCCACTTCATAGTTATACCCTAAATACATTGTGTATTACAGAGTAACTTCTGAAAACCGAACACATGTGGGACTAGCCTAAAAATTCGGACTTTGGAAGTTTCCGGAATTCAGAAGTTTGGGATTATCTGAACAAGTAAGAAACATTAAACACCATGCCTGATTTTTTACCTGTTTGGTGAAGCCCCATCTTGTTGTCCAATACCGACAGTGGGAGTGACTATATTGATGATCTGGCCATCAGAAAATGACTGAGGAATTACGTGAGTCACAACAGACATTGTTTACATTCTCTAGTTCTGACTGCACACTCTTGTATCCATTCCAATCATAACAGTACAATTTTCTCTTTTTCCCCTGAAATTCAAATGAAAACGATTCTTAAGTTTTATTATGATTAATAGAAAATATACTCCTAAAAGGGCTTTATTCACAGGCTGAAGGGGCCCTTCTCTTTAATTATATAAAAACAAAAAACAACAGTATTTATACAAAAGGGGAAGAAAAATATCAATCCAAGTTGAATTAAGGTAAAAACTGCATGATTTTAAAGAATGGCATCTTCTGTCAAATGGCCTCACAGCCACTATTAGTGCTATAGAAGGAAAAAAGGCCTGCCTTAGTAATAATTTCTAACAGATTTGTATTTCATCAAATAAAACATTCATGCAAATTTGCTACATGTATATTATATGAATATGTTAGACTGTATTGTATCTACTGATACAACAGCACTACATGTATATCAATTGATCTCTAGGAAATATTTTGCACTATATTGCATTTAATTGAATCAAATATTGCAAAAGAACTTCATAGAAGCAATGCAGCATTAAATTGTGTATTTTGTACAACATCATAAAAAGAGATACAGTTGTAAGTGTCGAGTTATATTGCATAAAAAATACAATATGTAATAGAAAGAGCATCTGACTTGTACGAGGGGACGTAATGAGCCCCCGTGTATTTATAAATCAGATTGTCGAGTGTTTTGATGTTCTTTCTCTTTTGTATCATTGTCAAACATAAAAACACGTTCACTGATACCACAATATGAAACCCCACAAAAAGTAACCAATGAACGAGCATCTGAATATGATATTTCCATCGCTATCCGTTTCTCTGACGTCACAGTATGTAAACCCCGGACAAAATGAACCAATCAATGGGCATGCTCTAGAGTGCGGGTAACTAATACCTGCACTCCAGTTAACGCACTGTGCATGTATATGTATACGATTTAACTCTGTCACATTTTCAACAGAAATGTTCCCAAACTATGATACAAGAATAACATTGAGCACGAAATCATATTACGGCAATAACAATACCCACAGGTAATACAAGTTTAATGAAACAGAAAATAGGTACTACTTCTACTTAATAATAAAATTTAAGTTAATACTATTGCGGTTAACCTATGGCATGGACATGCAAGTCATTGGTCTCAGTTGAAATGCTGTTAATTTCAGCTTATAGATAAATTAGATTTAGATATTTCCCCCTTGACCCTTTACCAATTTTGTTATTTTGTTGCCTCAGATAAAAATGAGTATTCTGAGTTTATACTGTGTGAAAATAAACTTTTGTAAATTACATGTATAATACATTGAAACAAAATTTATGGTATTAAAAGGGCAAGTACTTATACTAACTTATTATATAAATTTAATTGTCTGTACTACAACACTTTATATTTTTAATCTACTGGTAATTGAGTCAAATGAAATAAATGCAGTACTGGGATCCTACATATTACCGGACAAAATATGATGTTTTTTATCTGTAGCTTTTATTTAAAACAATAAAAAAGAATGCAATACCCAAATAATATTGGGTTCTTAATACACGTAAACCATGAAATTAAACATTTGACAGTAGAAATGTGTTTTTAAAGTTGGGCATTATAAGAGCAGTGATTTTCCTATTTATATACCAGACTCCGAAAAAAGGCCTCGTCCCAATTGAAATTTTCTTTAAAATCATGCAGTTTTCCAAAAAATCTGAACTTAAACCAGCTTTTTTACTTCCCAGTTCAGTAATTTTAGCGATAATTTTTCCCAAAATCAAGAGGCTAAGGCATCTTCTCAATTAATTGAGAAAAATCACTGAAGAGGGAAAAAAATCATGTAGATCACAACTCAATTTACCGGACATTGTGTTTCAAATTTTTTTGCAGCTGTGAATTGAAATTAATCTTTAAATAATTGGGAAGGAAACTACATCATATTGAATGGCAAGGTTAAGATATTTGAAAAACCCAGGATGTCACTAGAAATAGACACAGCTAGCAGTCATGCCTGTTACGAAGAGGCCAATATATAGGATGTAATTGAAATTAACACAATTAACTCAATTAGCGTATTGATTCTTCATGATCCTTAAACATATGAAACATTTTGATATTCAAATGGAATTCTGTTCTTTGTCTTTTGGTCATCATGTAGCATGTTGCAAAAGCCATAACATCTATTTTATTTACATTTCATGTAGAGTTACCTCCCATGGGCGTAACCCATAAATTCCCTTATATGTTTTTATTTGTTTGGGTCGTCAGACCAAACAAATAATGGTAGCGAAATTTCAGAGTCTAATGTTGTTAATTGCAAATGCCGAAAGTAGTCCACTTTTTTGAAGCGGTTACTTCCCTTTTGTATGTACACTAAAGCCGAAAAATTCAGGGGAGATCACTGCGTAAAGATGGTCAAAGACAGGCGCATCAATTTTCAAGCAAAGTAATTCCCGAATGGTCGAAGATTTCTAATATTGTTTTATTGTATTTTCTGATCGAAAATAACTAAATACAAAGGGGACATTCAATCTCTGACACAGAAGTTTACGACAAACCTAACAACAAGTAGTTCTCAAAACAGCTTAAAACTAGCGATTTAAAAGAAAGAAATATTTTATTTTGTTTCAAGTATCCAACAAATTACAACGCATTTAAAGTTAAACAATAGCGTTGGCTTAAAGAAATGGCAATAAATGCACAATCACAAATTACGCGGATGAATATGATTTTATCAATGAAAATACTATTTATTACCGAATACTACACAAACCGAGTAGTGGAATATATAGATTCTACATGTCGGACTGTTTGGGCGAGAGGATTTTCGCTAAAATATTTACTTCAATTATAAACAACAGGTTTACCCTGAACAAAATACCTCGAAATATTAATAAGGATTACAAACCCGAAATGCAATGGAAGTTCTAAATTTAGAATGACTTGATATTATTCAGCCTTTCTGTGTACAACTTCTCCGTGGTACAGTGGTAACGCGCTCGCTTAGTGAGTGAGAGGTCTCGAGTTCGAATCCCAGTCGAGGAACCTTTTTTTTTTTTGTTAAATTCTTTTTTAAGTGTTTTTGTTAAGGAAGTAGCCATGATATGCAAGGATAAAGTGTGGCTGTCGTAAAAAATGAACATAAATGATTTTTTGATGCAACTCTAGTTATGCAGAATTCCGTATGTATCAAACTCTGGTGCCTTGCAAAATGAATTATAATACATAAAAATAAACCTATACAGGAAAATGCATACAGATATACAGTACGATTTAGATTGCAAAGATCAGAAGATACCACAGAACTTGCAGCCCTTTGATTCTTTATAAATATAAATGCTTATAGTAAGCTCCAGGATTATTTACATCTGTGTTAAACAACAGTTAAAGTCGTTACAAGCCCTAATTAAGAATAATATGGTTTTCTTCAGCCCATTCACATATAAATTCACCGTGGCTGAAGGGTTTTCGGGCTCGCTTAGGAAGCGAGAGGTCTGGAGTTCAAATCCCAGTAAAGGTAACTCATTTTTTTTCAAATTGTTAAAGTCAAATAAACATTGGATTGAATATCAGTGTTGCAATTAGTCTTATAGCCAATTTACTACAATTAAAACGCTGGAAAGCATTGGTGGCACTATACATATAATCTCACAACCTGCACCTTTCTTACATTCTGAGACCCAAACAAATTCAGCGCCTTCTGTGCTTTGATTTAATTTGCATTTCTTTGTAAAAGACAACAAGGAGACACTGTTTGGACTAAATTTCAAATTACTTTTTATCATTAAAATATGTAACGATTGTCTCCTGAGGTAACGTTGAGAAGAATTAAAAGTAAAACCTATCTAAAATACCCCATAATACCCCATTAAGGGCCTCCATATTTGGGCTTGTGCAGAACAGATTATTCCCCCACATGACCAGGTCATGAAATAACTAGTAAACAAAAGGGCATGTTAGTAGATAAAGAACTGAATCAACAATATTTACCAGAGAGTGGTTTTGTTGTTATTTACTTTGAAATAGAAAGTGTGTGTACAAATCAGACTGTATGATTTTTTTAATCGGAACAAAAAATAAAGCACTATTCTGCTTTTTTCCGGTAAACTGATTGTCTGGTAAATATATAGGATTCCAGTAAAGAAATAAATCACAGCACCTCCTCTGATATGTGCCAAGTTATGTTTTTACACCACTCTAAGTTAGTTACAAGTAAACCTAAGGGGAAATTTCTGAATCAAATAAGGGAGGGGACTCGGAAGATGTATTTAGCAGGGCAATCAAAAGACATCTTTGTTCAAATTGTTGGGTGGTCCTATATAAATTTGAAAAACAAGTCTAACAAATTTAATTATTGTCTGCATAAATCCATAAGTAATTAAAAATGGAACGCTACAGTATACTGCACTGTAACCTAGAATTTGGTCGAGACGAATGTCATTAAAATGTCATGTACTGCACTGTATATTATTTTCAAAAGGTAATAAATTTTCAACACAAAATACTGTTAAACAGTCGTACTTGAATGCTACTTTCACTTTCATTTTCACGTCACCTGACCTACTTTTTTCTACTAAGGTGTATGCGTAAGTTAAATTACACAGCCGCGTTAAAAAGTAGGTCAATGTGCATATTAACAACACGGTTCAAGAACAATTCAATCTAAAGCTGACTCAGCCGTAGAGTCTCTTCTATTAAATGTTCGTAAATCATTTCAGCAGAGTAACTACTCTGTTAATGAAATCATCGCGATCTGAAAAAGCCAAGGCTGTAATTGGTAGCTTACCTATTTCAGCGACATTGTCACTCTTCGTCAAAATGGCGAGCGTCAGATCATCGATACTGCCCACATACCACGTGGTTTCTTACGTCATACGTACACATTGGGGAAACTATCAAAAATTGGATCTAAATTCACTTCAAATTATCAAATTTAATTGTTTCAGATGTACTTAGTTGTCATTTTACATTAAAATTTTTATTTAAAAAGTATTAAAAATAGGAAAAATCAAACGGATGATTTTTAAAAGACACCTGTCAGATCGCGTCAACCCTTAGGAACCTCCCATTTGTTGATTTTTCAACCATGTGACCTAGCAATCAACGCGCCGGTAACAATGGGTCCATATGTCAAATTGCTTCAAAGTCTCATTATTGATTAGAACCCCCGCCCTTAAGTGCAAGTGACATATGATATGACATTGACTTATTGGTATACAGCATAAAATGGCGGCAAATGTTTAATTGTCATATAAATCTACTGTAATTGAAAATGTTGATGATTTTGTGCAAATCTAAACCACATGTATAAAATTCTTCATCATTCGTTACAAGTATATTATGTTTTGATGAAATATATGAAAATAACAAAACAAGATATGCATGCAGGGGCGGTGCTATGCAGAGCGCTTTCGCAAAACGGACCCAGGGAACGGGTATTTGTGAAAACGCGCAGGGGTGGAGCAGTACGGTTATATGCATGCATGCACACAAAATAAATACGCAAAAAGTAATGTAAAATGTGTTGAGTATGCGTAAAAACTGTCACATTCAAGGTCCAATATATTTAATTAACCTCCAACCCGTTGAAGTTACTCCACATCATCCACCAGGTAGACATCGACGTAGAGGGGATGGAGACTTTACATCGGTTTAGAGTGGCGCGCTCCGACATAACTTCACCGTGTCCATTAATACATATGACGTACGACTGGAACGAGCTGGATGGAAGATTTAAACGCCTCCAGGCTCTCAGTAGTAACACAAACCGCAAGTATGCTCCGATTTGTGCTCGTGCTGGGGCGTAGAGGGTAGCAGTTTAGTACTGGACCTGCAATATTTCAATTTTGCCGCGTTTCTATGGGTTTTACGAAAGCAAGGGCGGATGTAGATTATTCGGTTGTAGATTATTCGGTTGTATGGAGGGGGCGAAGGGTGCGCAAGGAAAACTATGAATGATGTGCGACTTGGGAACTTTGAACAGCGTAAACTCCATTGTCCTCTAAATTTCCGGCTGCGAGCGAGTAAAACGCGAAAAATCTCCGAATGGTAAACAGCTGGAAACTGTAGAAAGTTTCACATACTTAAGTGTACTATTTAATTTCAATGGCAAATTTGAGGAAGCCAAGAAAAAACTTAATTGTTGAACAGGCTAGAAGAGCTACGTTTTTTTGTTATTTAAAAAAGCTAGGAAACTGTTTGTACCCATATCTGTTCAATTGCATTTGTTTACCTATTTTATTATATGGTTGGGAGATTTTGGATATAGAGAATGTAACTACAGTTACGTTTTTATAAACTCATACTTAATTTGAAAAGGTCTACACCCGATTGTATGATATATGGTGAAACAGGACTTTGTCCTCTAGTTAAAACAAGAATATCGTGTTACTGGAGTAAGTTAAAATATGTAAAATATTGTATAATACAGTTCTTTCTTTACATGTTAATAATGTTATGATCTCCCCATGAATCTCATTTGTTAAAAATACTCTTGATGAGCTCGGCTTATCAAACTATTTTTATAATCAATATATTGGTAACTTAAATAGTTTTAAAACTATTGTGAAACAGAGCTTGAAAGACCAATTCTTACAGAATTGGAAAGGAACCAGAAAATGAATCCCCTAAATGTTTACTAGTAATTTATCGTGTGTATAAGAAAGATTATACTTAAATATATTACCTTTCAAACTCTGTAGAATACTTTGTGAATTCAGAACTATGAACCACATATTACCTATAGAGAAATGTAGACATTTACATATTGAAAGAAATCTAAGAATATGTCATATCCAAAACAATCTCTTGGAGATGAATTTCATTACTTATGTGAATGTCACTTTTTTAATTCTCTTCGTCAAAAGTTTATTGATTCAAAATTCTCAAATCATCCTAATATTTATAAATTAGAATCTTTAATGAATACACGTAGCTCTAACCTTACAACTTTATCAAAACTTGCATTATTCTGCAAAATTATTATTTCAAAATTTAAATAACTCATTCTCCTGTAAGGCATGATTTTCTCAACCTGTACGAGTGTATTAACATATAAACAATTTATAACATCTGTGTTAGACAAATCATGTCCAAAGAGTAAAGTTTAGTCAAATACCGATATGTGCTAGTCACATTGATCTCATTATTACATAATTTATATTTTGTTGAATAACTGTTCATTACATTGTTGATGTATCATAACCTTATGCATATTATATGCCTTGGTTTTAAAATAAAATCTTGAAACCTTGAAATCTCAAATCGATAACTGAGCCGCGTCATGACAAAACCAACATAGTGCGTTTGCGACCAGCATGGATCCAGACCAGCCTGCGCATCCGCGCAGCCTGATCAGGATCCATGCTGTTCGCTTACTAACCCTACTACAAGTAGAGAAACTAATAGCGAACAGCATGGATCCTGATCAGACTGCGCGGATGCGCAGGCTGGTCTGGATCCATGCTGGTCGCAAACCCATTATGTTGGTTTTGTCGTGACGCAGCTCAAATTAGATCAATCAGAGACATAGTGTCTCTGGTGCAGTAGGAGGAATTGTTACTGTATTACGTTGGTATATTTCTTTCTTTGTTATAAAATAACACTTGATCTCACCGTGATTCCTTTAAAATGTCACAACTGTTTACTTTCATAGCTTTACATAATTATAATATACGAGCAAACTTTCTTTATACTCCGATGAACAATCACCTGAGCTCAAGAAAATTAAACAATATCTGGTGCACAGTAACAAAGAAATCGCCATTTGTGTTGTGGCTGCTTAATAATTGTATGTTTGCTTTAGATCAGAATATTTGAAAGACCCTGTTGAGATCCAATTATTTTGTAATTTCTTGATATTTTATACGTTAATAAATTTAAGACCTTACAGAACACATAAACAGCATAAGCCGTTTTTACTTAATGGACAACTGCACCAACATCGAAAAATAATTGATGCAATCTATCGGATTAAAGAACTGATCAAAATTGCTAATGAAATGTCTTATCTGCATGAATTCAAAGTGTGTGTGAATTACAAATAAAATCTAATGGACTCCTAAAATTAAATGTTGACACAATGTCAGTGTGTTCTTGTAAAAAAATGAATAAATTCTATATTGCTGAGAGCATGTTTAGATTTCATGTGTCCGACTATAAGTTTCATTTTTTGCTTAAATTGGTGATGACTCAATATCATTTACAGAGTGATACAATTTTATACAAGTACGGAAAACAAACATAAATTTGTACAAGGTACTCTTTTGCACTGCAATATCCTATAGAAATAAAATAAATTCGAGCATTCATCCATTCGTTCGTTAGTTCGTTTATTTGTTCATTAATGTTAGTTCTACATTCATTTTATTTTCATTTGTTCGTTCATTTGTTCATTCATGTTAGTTCTTCATTCTATCGTTTATTTGTTCGTTTATTTGTTCATTCATATTAGTTCGTTCATCCGTTTGTCCATTTCTTCGTTTATTTGTCCATTCATTTGTTCATTCATTTAATTATATGTTCATTTATGTATTTTCTTTTTACTCATTTATTTTTCATTTATTTACAGCACCATAGAAGAATAGTTAATTCAAATCAATAAATTCTAATTGACTGATTGATAGATGGATGGATGGATGGATGGATGGATGGATGGATGGATGGATTCATTCATTCATTCATGCACACAAATAACAATGACTCACATTGATATAAAATATAATACATGCATTTCCTTATCCTATTAGCTGACTTAGGTTACATGTAACATTACATTACAGACATACCTTATTTATCTACATGCCAATAGATCAAATATGATGTACATGTACCTTTTTCAACATTAAAATTCAATATTACGACAGAAGCTCTAAATATAATAATTATGTGCATGAAAAATAAGGTATTAGTTACCCGTACTCCAGAGCATGCCCATTGATTGGCTCATTTTTGCTGGGGTTTACTTATTGTGACGGCAGAGAAAGTAAAAGCGACAGAAATGTCATAATTAGATGCTCGTTCATTGGTTACATTTCTCCGGGGTTTCATATTGTGACAACAGGGAACGTGTTTTTATGTTTTACTATGATACAAAAGAGAAAGCTACGCCCCCTCGTATAAATCAGATAGCCTCGTGTTTCGATGCTCTTTCTATTACTTAAAGTTATATCTATTTCAGCATTTTAGAGATATTTAGTAAGATATAACATTAAAATCATACTTGAAATAGTTAACGTCAATGTCAACTCAAGAAAATCCATTTTTTTACAGTCGTGCTTATATTGAATTTACATAAATAACTGCCTAGTGTTGCTAAAACTGTTTTGCACCGATTCAGAGGCAAAATAATTTTAACATCTTTCCGGTTATTTACGAGGAAAATTTGTAGTGTACATTTTGTAGGGGTTTTCGACAATATTTGACACGTTTTCCAAAGTTATTACTATTTCAACTGCTTACAAGTCGTCTTTCACACAAGTCTGACGGCAAAATAAGACAGAAAGCTGTACATAGCAGATGAAAAATGGCAAGTGATCCGCATGTCATGGTCGCTATTTGGAGTTGGCGATTTGTTCTTTCTGTATATAAAGTCTTTGAATATTCGTAAAAACACCATTTTCCTTGAGTTTACCGTCATAAAACAATTTGTCTGATTCCATTCCGAATTAGCCA